AGCTACAGCCAGCAGAGGCTGGAACCCACAGAGGACAGAGGCTGGGGCCCTGTCCCCAAGGCCTGGCAAGGGTCGCCCCTTACCAGCCTGCTGTCAGCACTCCTGCAGGGCCCTGGCCCTCATCAGAACACAGGGAAACCAGCTTTGGTTCCAGGAAACCAGCATGGCAGGAACCACAGGCCACCTGCTGTGGCTCTGACCAGAATTCTCCTGTGCACAGATTACTGCATCTGAGGCAGAGAGTGCATGTGCAGACATACACATGCACACACACATGTGCACACCACACAGCTGAAGAGCCCTCTCCATGGGGGGCAATGAGGGAGTGGCTAGGAGGGGCCTCTGCCCCTTCCCAGGCCCAGCTGTCAGTGCCCGGCAGGGGGCCTTCCTCAGAGGAAGTTCTCAGGGTCTGTGGGATGTGTGTGTGTGGGGGGGGGGAGGGGGAGTTGGAGGGGAGCTTCCCACGGCAAGGCAGGCCTAGATCACCCCTCTCCAGATCCCAGCCGCAGCCTGGACTCCAACATGACCCCTTCTGGGCCCCAGGGCAAACCCACTGTGGTCACGGTAGCCTCAGCTGAGCTGCGTCCCTGGTCACTGTCCTGGGGTGGCTGTTACTGGGGTGCTGTCCCATTTCTCTGAGAGGCGGGCGCTTCCTGGGTCTGTGGGGTGTCAGTGCCCCTAGGGCTACTGTGGTGATGGTGCCGCAGCCCCAGTGGCCTGTGGTGAGTGGGTGCTGGGGCCAGGAGGGCAGGGCAGACAGGAAGTCCGTGGCCCTCCACCCAGGCCTCTGAGCCAGGGCTGAGCGTGGGGGCAGGGAGAGGGGCAGCTGGCCTGGGTTCCACAGGTGGAGGCTATGGGCGATGGATGGACAGGGTGTGGGAGCCTGTTCCTGCAGCTGTTTATCTCCCCCCTGCGGGTCGGGGCTCACCCTCCAGGAAGGAAGCAAAGCAGACAGACAGGCCGGGGAGGCCGCTGGGCCTGGCTGCACAGGGGATGGTGAGGAGGGCAGTGCTTGACGTGAGGCCCCCGGTCTGGGCTCGCTCCCCCTTCCCCCACCCAGACTTCCCGGGCAGTCCCTGCACTTCCTGCCCCAACGGGCAGTTCCAGACCTCGGCCAGCTCTAGGCCTCGGCTAGGGAACCTGCCGCTCCCGCACCTGTGCAGCGCAGGTCCTAGCACCCAGCGCTGCGAGGTACAGGCAGGCCCCCCCAGAATGCTCGGTCCAGCACCCCGTGTGACAGAGGGAGGCGGGAGGGAGGGCAGTTTCAAAACAACTTCTTCCCATTTCCAGTCTGTGGGGGGAGAATGGAGGCTGGGCTCGTTTCTCAGTGGAGAGCGAGGGGGTGGGGTCGGTATGGAAAAAGCCAAGAGGTGTTTCCACGAACTCAGCTCAAAGGGAAGCAACGAGGTCACAGGCCCCCGCTGCCCCCGGGAGCGCACGCCACCCGCCAGCACCTGGACCCACGTGGAGTCCCAGCCCGCCCGTCCTGTCCTGCGCACCAGGGCGCCCACGGTGCCTTCCTACCGGGACGCCAGGTGGAAGAACACGCCCCACCGTGCAGACACGCCCCCAGCTCCCCAGCTCCCCAGCTCCCCCAGCCGCCGGAGGAAAGGAGCAGGCGGGCGGGCAGCCTCTAGCCCCGACCTGCCCCTACGAGGCCCGGCCGGGGGAGGGGCCAGGAAGGGCGCTGGGTGGGACCTGGAGGGGGCGGGGTGGGCACCCACATGCAGAGCGGGTAGGAGAGGGAGCCGTGAACAGGAAGAAGTCACCTCCCGTCAGCGGGGAAGAATGTGGAGGGGGTGGGACAGGCCGAGGAATCGCGAGGGGTGCAGAGGTTAAGTGCCAGGCAGCGGGAGGCGGCGGGGGAGGCGGTGGGGGGGGCGGGGGGGGCTCAGAAACTTCCTGGGACAGCCAGGTACCTGACCGGCAGATGGAGGATCAGTTCCTGGCATGCAGGGCCCACTCCTCTGCAGCACCGCTGCCCAGGGACTGTGATTGCCAGGACCTGGGTCTCAGGGCTGGGCAGGGCCAGCGCCAGACTCACTTCGACCTGTCCCTGTGCCAGGCCCCTGTCCCTGTGCCAGGCCCGGCGGGGGCAAACAACACTTCCTTTCTCTGCTCCTGGCTCCTACTGGAGAGGGGAGGGCCGCCGGCTGCCTGGCCGGGCTTCGGCCAGCCTGTGTCCTCCTGGGGGCTGCAGGGGAGGCCAGGACTAGCCTCATGCGGTGGAGTAAGTGGGCAGTGCCCTGACCAGGACAAGGTGGCCAAGGGCTGGAGGAGATGCTGGCTCAGCTGCCAGCCTGGGCAGGCACGGCGTGGGGGTGGCTGTCAGTGGAGGAGGCCAGGCCACACCCCCGACAAAGCAGCAGGGGGGGTCTCCTTCCGGAAGAGGCTGTCCCAGAGCCGCAGGCCTCCCTCACCCAAAGGTGGCGCAGAGGGAGGGACACATACCTGTCTCAGTTATGCCAGGAATGTGGTTCCCCAGGTCAGAACGGGAGGAGGTGCCTTCCGGGGGCAGAGGCTGGGGAAGGGGCCTGACCAGCAGAGCCAGAAAGACCCTGCAGGTCCCAGCAGAGCTGGGGACAGGTGTGCTGAGAGCAGCAGGTGCCCCTCAGGACCCAGGCAAGGAGGAGGAAGAGGTGGGCCGGGGAGGACCAGGCCCCCCACCTTGGCTGCTCTGGGCCTTGCCGGGGGTGAGGCGTGCTCGGGACAAGTGAGACCTGGTGGTCTTGGGGTGACCTCCACAGGTTAGTGGCTGCTCAGACTTCGCCCTGGGCCCTGGGGGGCCCTGGAAGCAAATGGGGTCAGTCAGACGGGGAGGGTCAGCTTATCTCAGCCCTGCCTCCTCACTAGGCTGAGGCCTGGGCTCCTGGAGCCTGGGGTGGGGTCTGAGGTGCTCATCTCCTACAGAACAGGAGGCGGGCCCTCCTCCCACCCACCCAGCCCACGGGCCTCTGCACAAGATTGTTTCTTCCCCAGCCTGGCCCTAGCTCCGGGGACCTTGTCCCTCAGGCTTCGGGGCACTCGGGGAGACGCCCCCTCTCATCTAGACCAGGGTCGTGATGTATCAGCCCTGCCCCAGTGCCCAGCCCACTGCCCTCAGCGCCCTGGGTGGCTTCCAAAGCAGATCCATGTGGCCCAGCTCCAATCCAGGGCCTTGCAGTGGGAGGGAGGCTCCTCAGTCTGGGCCCTCCCCGCCCAGCTCCCGGCCTCCAACCACAAGGCTCCAGCCATTTCCTTTCCCTTCATCTCCAGGAACTCCTTTCCCTGGACCATACCCCTGGGGGGCCTATCTCAGGACGTCCGGTGCTCAGCCCTCCTGGGCACTCACCCTTCTGCTGCACACAGGCCTGTGCATCCCAGCACCTGCCCCAGCCCGGAGCCCAGGTCCTGCCCCTGAGTGTTGGTTGCCAGGGCAGGCAGCACACAGTAGGTCAAGTCTCAGTCCTAGCTGGGGGCTCTCCCTGTGGACCCTCCTGTCCAGCTGTCTCTCTGCCCAGCCTGGCATGTCCAGAGCCCGGTTGGTGTGGATGGGGCTCTGGCAGGATGGCCAATCTTGCTGTGCCCGTGGTGGCCCTCACGCCACATGCCTTCCGACCCCACATAAGGCCTCAGTTACTGATCACAGACCCCCGGGCTGGACCCGCCCAGCAGTACACTTAACACAGTTGACCCTCTCGAAGATTCCCTGTCGAGGGAGAGGGCATTTTCTGTCTTGACCCTTCTCTCCAGCCTCTCCTTAGCCCCCACTCACCCCGCCCCCCCCCAACACTGGGCATCACATCACACAGCTGCCGGTCTCCATGTCTCACTCCCTTCTTTTCCCTCAACCACAAGCTTCCAGAGTGAGGCCAGTGTCTCAAGTCCTTGCTAGGGAGGACAGCAGGCTGAGACCCCTCAGTCGAGCCAGTGCTGGCAAGGGACTAGGACACCCAGCCCCGCTGGCTCCTCCATGTGACGCTGTGGCCGGGGACCACGAGGCAGCCCAGAAGCAGCCAACCACAGTCTGGGCAAGACGTCATGGGGCTCCCGCCCACTTGGGTCTGCCTCCCGAGCACAGTCCTCCCCAGGCCAGATGAATCCACCATCCAGGACCCCACAAAAACCAAGCCAGCATCACAGCACTGAATTGGATAGAAGGGGGACTTCCCTACTGGCCCAAAGAGCACATCAGAGGGACAGGGTCACCTTCCCAGGACAGGAAGTAACAGGCCCCTCCTACGCTCCTGGGGAGAAACACTCTCTCACGCCCCCCCCCCCCCCCCATAAATCCCTTCTAGGCAGCCAAGAGGGGACAGGCAGGATGTGGGACCGGCAGTTCTTACACTCTCCCTGCGTTCCTCAGCCAAGGATCTCAACTCCTAACTGGGACTATACTGGGATGAAGGGGGGTGAGGGGAGAGAGCCCTGGTCATGTGATTCCTGCTCACCTCCCAGAGGCTGTGGTGGGGGAGGAATGCTCTCAGGCCATTCAGAATAGACGTGTGGGGACAGGCGACAGAAAACGTTCTTCACCTCGATAACGGAGTCCCACACCCCTTCAAACCCACAGAAGCCCTCACCCCACAGAGCTGCCTCTTCCCACAAATGACAGGCCTTGGAACACACAAGGGGGCTGTGCCCCCATCTATAGGCCCCACCCCCAAGGGATTGCTCAACATCTGGGCCCTGTCTAGACAGATGTTTGGGCCTCTGCAGGAACATGAACAGCTGGTGTTCATTCACCTGGTCCCAGCCTCTCCTCTAGAAAAGGACTCTCGGCGAGGTACAGAGCCAGGGAGGGGGAGGGGAGGGTAAGCGAGGGAGGCTTGTCCCTTTGCAGGGCTGGGACTTGCTCAGCTCAGGACAAAAGATGGTGGCATTGTGGGGGTTGGGGGGGCACTGCTAATGACCTGGAGGTGGCAGAGACACAGCCAAGGAGCGGGGGAGCTGCAAGGTCAGGCCCCGAGAGTGTGCTCCAGCCTGCGGCACGGCCCCCTGGGCGCCCGGGCCCCACGCACCTTCCACACAATGCTGCACCTCCTCCAGGTTCCGCAGGGTGATGCGCATGAGGCTGGAGTTGAGCATCAGCTCGTTCTTGTGGGCGGGCCACAGGTACGGGGGCGCAGGGTTCACAAAGAAGATCCTCGTGTCCCCCGCGGACACCTGGTTGTCACAGATGAGGGGGTCTCCAAAGCCGCCAATCACCACCTTGTTGCCGCCGTCCATCAGGCTCTCCTGAGTCACCACGTCTTTGCCCTTCAAGTACCGCCAGACCCGAACCTGGGGGGCGGGGGGGCGGAATGGGGGGCAGGTATCAGTGATCCATTCCCACTGGGAAGAGGAGGCCACAGAGGCCAGAGGCAAACTGCAGACGGGGGCGCCTGGGCCTTTTCCTCCAGGAAACAGCTCCCAACCCCCAGGTCCAACCGACCCCGATTCCAATGGTGTCCATGTGGGCTCAGGCCGGATATGGGAAGGGGACCCGCCTGGCCTGGGCTGCCTGCCTTCCCTGCCTTCCTCTCCCTGTCTGCCCCCCACTACTCGGGCCTCCCTGGATGGAGCCAGGAGACACCAACATGGACGACAGACTTTCAGGGCGACAAGCTCTGCGCTCAGGGCTCTGGGCCAGCTGCATTCTTTGCAGCCCTGTGGGTGGGCTAAGACACCCCCTCCCAGGAGATAAAAGACCCCTCCTCCTGCCAGGCTCCGGCGGTGAGCGCAGTAAAAGCAGCCTGAGAACCACAGAATCAAGTTTGGGCAGCGCAAGGCAGCCCCACCCTCCCTGCTCGGCTCTGGGGGCCCTGAGGGCACCTTCTCAGACTGTGCCCTGGGATGCCCACAGTCCACAGGGATGGGGAGTGGGGGCGGCAGGAGGGTCGCAGGAGATGCAGGCTGAACAACAGGCTGCCCTCAAAGGAACAGGTCCCCCGACAGGAGCCCAGCTCCCTGAGAAAGGCCTCTTTCTTCAGGAGCTCTGGGGGGTTGGGGTGCTGGAATGGGGGATGAAAGACAGTGGTGGCCAGTTCACCTGCCTACGTCCCCCCTGCTGGGAGCCCCGGGTCTGCAGCACCTGCAGGGACCCCACCACCCTCCAGTGGTCTGGGTGCGCCTGGCCCAGCCCTCTCCCTCGGACCTCCAGACCCACAGTAGGCTCAGAAGGACAAAACCAGCAGGGGAGGGCGGGCAGCTTTCATCGCCTCCCCCCACCCCAGCCACACCCAGGAGCGGCAGGGAGGAAGTCGGGAAAATCCTGCAGGGACTTGGCAAAGTGCCCCGAGGTGGAGAGGAGGGGGCCCAGCGGGGGAGCCAGCAGTAGCCCTCACAGGCCAAGCCAAAAGGAGCTGCCGCCCGTTCCCATCTCCTAGCGAGAGGAATGATCCGATTGCTGGTCGGGGAGGGAGTTTTAGGGGCCAGAAGTGGGGGAGGGGCCGGGGTGCCCTGAGCACACCCTAGGAACGGACCGTGGTTGAAAACCCACCATCCTGCCCCGGGGCTGCCGGGTCCCGCTGCGGGAGAGCGCCCGCAAGCCCCCCTCGCGAGGCCGGGGAAATGCGGTTCCTCCAGGAGCGGATGGGGGCACCTGCCCCTGCCCGGCCACCCCCACGCACACTGGAGCGCAGCAACGGCCCCGCCCCCTCCCAGCGCCTGCCCCCACACCCGGCACGGCAGCACCCCCACCAGGGCCCCGGGACTGGGAGATGAGATGGGACACCCCCCTCTCCGACCACCCCCTCCGGCCCTGATAAAGGCCTGGGGGGCAGCACTGACCCGGCGGAACCCCCACCTCCGCCCCGCAGAGAGCGCCATCTCCCCGGCCCCTCTCCCTCTCCGCGGGCAGGTGGGAGGGGTGTGGGGGCCACGCTCTCCCTCGGGGGGCGACGGAGTCGTTTCCCAGACGTGGCTTCGGGAGGAGGGGCGGCCGTGACCGGGCCCCGGGCCTGGGCGCCGCTCGGCGGGGCTGCGGTGGAACTTTCCCTGCGGCGCTCGCGAGTTTTCCGGGACCCGGCGCCCCACAGGGGGCTCGGCGGTCGCCAAGGAAGCGGGCGCGGGCGCTGCGGGGCGTCTGGGGCCGGTTCCCACGGCCGGGCGGGGTCCCCGCGGGCGGCCAGGCATCGCGAGGGGAGGGCCTCGGGCTCGGGGTCGCGGGAAGAGCCCCCCAGGCCGGGCTCCAGGGGGATCCGGGGGGCTCAGGGCCCGGGGTCCGGGGGCCCACCTTGCACGAGTACGTGAGCTGCACCGGGTCCACATTGAGGATCTCCTCCACGGTGCCCGTGAGCACCACGTTCGCCTCCTCCTCCCGCCGCTCCAGCGCGCGCTCCGGGCACGTCCCGTCGACGCCGGGCAGGGGGCACGCGGCCACCACCAGGAGCAGCAGCAGCGGCGGCAGCGGGGTCGGGCCGGACGGCCGCGGGCTGGCCATGGCGGGCCGAGGGCGGCGGAAGGGCCGGAGCGAGCGCGCGGGCCGGGCCGCGCCGGGGACCGGACTGGACAGGACGGGACGCAGCTCGCTGGAGGCGGTGGGAGCGCGGGCGGCCCGGGGGCGGGGCGGGGGCGGGACCGGAGAGCACCGCCCCCGGCCGTCCCCGCCCCCTTACCGCCGCCGCCGCGCCGCCCCTGCCCGCCCGGCGCTCCGCGACCCGCGCCGGCCCCGCGAACAAAGCGCCGGGAGAGCGGCGCCGGCGGAGGCTGGGCGGGGAGAAGGGGCGGCTGGGCCGGGCCGAGGCGGGCGGCGGGCGGAGGGCGGCCCGGACGGGGGGCGGGCGGCCGGGGCTGTGTGCTGCGCGGCCCCCACGGACGGCCCCCAGCGGACGGACGCCCCTCCCCCGGCGCGCGCCCCGCCCCGGGCACTGCGGCTGGAGCCGGGTTAATGCATAATCGGGAGGCGACGTGACGGGACTTCCAAGGGGCTCCAGGCCACGCGGGGCCGGAGCGGCGGGGGCTCCCCGGCCGCGGGAAGGGGCTCCCAGACGCCGGGGCCCCGCCGCCGCTGGAGCCCCTGCAGAACAGGGAACCTGGGGGAACCCCGGCCCCAAGCAGACCCCGGACGGAAGCTCGGTAGGGCCGGGACCCCCGCGGGTCCGGGAGGGGCGGCCGCTCCACAGGCCACGCCCCCCGCGGCCGAGGGCCAATGCGTTCCGGGCGCTGCGCCGATTGGTCAAAACTGAGCGCAGACCCGCCCACCTCCCGTTCCTGGGTCAGTTCGGGCCTCACTGCAGGGCGGAGGGCGCCCCCTGCCGTCCAGCGGTGGCAATTGCAGGCCGCTGGTGGCGGGGAGACGGGGGCGGGGGGAAGGTCAGCCACGCCCCCTCCCAGCGCCCACAATCGCGCTGCTCCCGCCAGGCTGAGTGCAGGGACGCACTGCGATCCAGCGCGCCCAGACTGGAGCCGGGCCTGGCTGACGACCGAGGGGGAGCGGGAAGAGGCCCCTTCCGTTCCTCCAGGGCTGGACCCGAGGTGCCCCCTCACACTCCAACCACAGAGCTCAGGGCCAGGAGCTAGGCAGGGCTGGCTATGCAGAGGCCCCTCTGAAGGGCGCTCCTTCTCCAGGCCCTGGGGGGGGGGCTCAGGAAAGGGGGGTGGCATCAAGGTGGGCGCTTACGCTTGCTGCCTTGCAGTGAAGAGGTGAGAGTGGGGCCCAGGAAATGAGGCTGGAACGTGGAGAGCCCCCCACAGGCACACCTGTGTGTCCACACTCCCGTCCTAGGCAAGGCAGACCTGAGGTGGCTCCCCAGCCCCAGCCCAAACACGGACTCCCACAGACCAGAAAGGGGGCTCTGGGTCTCCAGCCAAATAAATCCTCCCGAAGAGTCTGAAAGCTGAGGTCTGAGTGTCCCCAGAATCTCGGACTTTCGCCCAGAGAGGTGTCTGTTCTGTCACCCCCATCTTTCCTGCATCCCAGGCTGTCTCAGCCTGGCTCCTGTGGGCTCGTTTGGGAACTGGGATAGGAGGCGCATCGGGTGTGGAAGCACTCGCAGCCTGTGCCAGGCGGTGCTCCCCAAAGCTCTTCCACGGGAGCCCCCCTCAGGCGCCCTTCCCTCGGCCACAGCCTCTCCTTTAAGTGAAACTCCGAAGGCACAGCCTCCACTCAGCAGGTCACCGGTGGTGACAGTGAGTGTTCAGGCCCTGTCCACACCCCTCCCAGACCAACGCACACTGGACGGAGTGGGCTAGTGGGCCCCGGAAGACAGAGAGGCCCAGAGCCCCACCTCCCAGCTGACCCAGGCAGGCCCAGGGACTCCCTCCCTCACCGCTTCCAGGGGCGCTGATCCCACTGGAGACATCGCCGTGTGGCCTTTGGAGCCTGACCTGGCCTCCCCCGCTCAGTGCTGTCTGCTGACCCGGACGTTGGGTGGGGCCAGTTGTGCAGGGCCTGGCCGTGTCAACCTGGGCCAGGGATGGACTCCAGCGAGGCCTCTATTTCTTTCTCTAGAAGTTAATTTCCCAAACGTGTGGGAACGCACCTTCAGTCTCCTCTCTGGGGAGGGGGTGGGGTGGGGGGAGATGTTGTTACTAGTTTGATCCTACTTAGCTGTGGGTTGTGACCACCCAGGGACCCTGGGTCCGCTTGCCTTCCTCCTCCTCCTCCACCTCTCCCCCAGGTTCATCAGCAGAGGTGAGAGTGCCAGGGCAAGGGCGAGGGAAGACGCAGAGGCAGCCAGTTAGCTTTGCATCAACGTTTATTATGGGCCCCCTTGTCCAGGGACTCGCCGGTGGTGGTTCTTAGCGCTGCCCTCCCGGCCCCTCCTCGCCCCCCCGAAGGCGCAGATTCATCTGCAAGGTGCAGTGGGGCGTGAGGTCGTACTCCCCCAGCTGCTTCTCGTCATCCAGGGGCTGCCCCTGGAAACTCAGCCAGAACTGGTCGACGTTCGTGCTCTCGCGGTTAGCCACCTGCTCCTTGAGTCGGGCCACCTTCTGCGTCAGCTGGACCTCGTAGGCTCTGGTGTGGCCCCTGTCGTTCCTCACCAGGATGCTCAGGGGCCTGTCGCAGCTCTGCACCACCAGCACGACCTCGCTGCCCGAGCGCAGGCCCTGGTGGGCCAGGGGAACCCCGTCCTGCAGCACTTCATTGCTCCCCTGGACCAGCAGGCGCTGCTGGAAGGCAGGCACTTGGATCTTCTGGGTGATCAGCTGCTTCAGTTCCGACAGCAGCATGGAGTCCCTCATGGGCACCTGGAACTCCTTGCTCAACATCTTCACCTTCAGGTACCCGCCCTGTGGGCATCAGCAGAGCTCAGAGACCCCGGCACCACTACACGCATGACCTTGGTCGCAGGGCAAGCTCCTAGGGCCCTGGACCCTGCTCCCCCTCTGTGTCCTCTCCATCCACCAGGAGAGACCTCCAGTGCAGGAGACAGAAGCACAAGGGGGCATTTCTAGAGGAACGGCCAGCCTCCCATGACCATCTACTTGGTCTCCCTTCATTAGCTAAGATGTCCCCCAAGGGACCTCAGAAGCAGCCACTGGGAAGAACCCACCTTCCAAGACCCAGACCCTGGTGTCAGCAGGAGCCCTGGTGTCAGACTTAGGAACCTGGGAGCTCTAGCAGCTCCGCTTGCCTGGCACACAGGGAGGGAGAGGGTAATGGACTGGTGCCCAGCCCACCTGTCCAGCCTGTCACCCGCCTCACCATGGCTGTGGGCTCTGATGCCAGGTCCTCCACAGGTCGTGAGACGACGATGACGATGAGTGCGCTGTCTCAGCTCCAGCTCCCTCTCCCGCAGGCCCTGGCGGCTCACCCCTTTTCTGAGCCTGAGCCTCACACGTCAGGGGGCGTGTCAGAGCAGCCTCAGCAGCCGGTTCAGCTTCAGTTTCAGTTTCCGTTTCCCAAAGGCTCGCCTGGGAGCCAGTGGCAGGAACGAAGCAGAAGGAAAACAATCAGGGATCCTCGGGGGACTTGCCACCCACTTGCGAGGGGAGGCCCAGGGTGGACACCAGGCTCCCTCCCCAGGGTGTGCATTCCACCCCCAACGGCCTGCACTTCAACAAGTGCCCGAATAGCATGACGTGACAATGGGAAAGTTTCACTTTCCATTTACCAACGTGCGAAAGTAACAAACTTAGACAATCCTGTTACGGTTCATTCGGAAATAACATAAAGTAGTGACAACCAAAGTACCCAGGGATGGTCACCAATATTTGTTCAGATTTTTCTTTTTAATGAAAGAGACGTATCTTATTTTCTACAAAAATGAACTCGTGGACATTATTGAGAAAGTGAAGAGGCTACCCACAACAATGGGAGAGAATGTTTACAAATCATATGTCAGATAAGGGGCTAGTATCCATAATATAAAAAGCAATGTTACAACTCAACAACAAAAATATTACTCAATTAAAAATTGGTCAAAGGACTTGAACAGGCATGTCTCCATAGAAAATAGATAAATGGGCACAGCCTCATGAAAATATGCTCAGTATCATTGGGCACTAGGGAAATGCTAGTTAAAGCCACAACGAGATATGTCACACCCACTAGCATGACTATAAATAATAATAATCTATAATAATAAAAGCATAACATGCTAATTAGACCAGACGACCTTCCAGGTGAAGCCAGGGCTGCAAGGGAAGCCTGGGTCCCGGGTGCCAGAGGGAAGCCAGTGCCGGCAGCCGGGGGAAGGAAGGCCTATTCTTGCACGAATTTTGTGCACTGGGCTACTAGTAATTAATAGAACAAGTGTTAACAAGGATGTAGAGAAACTGGAACTTTCATACGTTGCTGATGAGAATGTGAAACGGCGCAGCTGCTATGGAGAACAGACATTCCTCCAAAAGTTAAACAGCCCTGGCTGGTGTCCCAGTCGGTCAGAGCGGCATCGTGTGCCCCGAAGGGTCTGGTTCAACTCCCAGATGGGGCACATACCCAGGTTTTGGGTTCGATCCTGGGTCAGGGTGAGTACTGGAGGCAACCAATCCATGTTCCTTTTTTTCTCTCTCTCCCCCTTTTGCTCTCCATTTCTCTCTTTTGAATCAATGAAAAATGTACCCTCTGGTGAGGGTTAACAACAGCAAAAAGTCAAAGAGTGGCAAAAACAAAATGTTTTGAATATGAATCTTTAAATATGTTTTTTATTAATTTTTAGAGAGAGAGGAAGGGAGAGGGATAGATAAACAGAAACATTATATGATGAGAGAGGAACATCATTGATCGGCTGCCTCTCACACACACCCCTACTGGGGATCAAGCTTGCAACCTGACCAAAATCAACTAGCAGTGATGGCGAACCTTTTGAGCTCGGCGTGTCAGCGTTTTGAAAAACCCTAACTTAACTCCGGCGCCGTGTCACATACAGAAATTTTTTGATATTTGCAACCATGGTAAAACAAAGACTTATATTTTTGATATTTATTTTATATATTTAAATGTCATTTAACAAAGAAAAATCAACCAAGAAAATGAGTTCGCGTGTCACCTCTGACCCACGTGTCATAGGTTCGCCATCACTGAACTAATGACTTGGTTCCTGGGACGACGGTCAACCACTGAGCCACACCATCTGGGCTGAATATAAACCTTGACCATTCCTCCCCTCCATCCCCCAAAACTCTGATAAGGCACGAAAATTGTTAACACACACACAAAAATGATTTTTAAAAACTTTTTAAAAATTATTTTAAGTTATATCTCGACCTATTCCTTGCATAAATAATATTGGAGATTATATATATATATATATATATATATATATACACACACACACATATATGTATATATATATATACCACAAAGAGGAAAAACAAAAACAAACAAAAAAGAAAACCACAAACATTTTTTGAAACAATAAAAAGAATACACAGAAAGTTAAAACGCCCCAACCTCCCCCATGACCATTCTTAAACATGCTTCATATGTCTGCCGATTTCTTTCTCTTTTTTTCTTTATTGATGACGGTATTACATATGTGTCCTTATCGCCCCATTGCCCCCCCTCCCTCCACTCATGCCCTGCTGATTTCTTGATACGTGACATACGGGTACTTTTAGTTCCTTTGTCCCATGTGACCAAATGTCTTCTGCTTTCAACAGGAGGACCTGAAAACCACAGAGGCCAACCGACAGAACCTGTGAAGTACATGTTTCAAACAACCACAAACCCGTGGCTTCAAACAACAGAAATGTATGCCCTCGCAGTGCTGCAGACCAGAGGTCTGAAATCAGGGGGACTGAGGGACCATGATTAAAAATAGTCTGACTTTGTGTGGTTTACAGAAGACAAGAATCATCTGAAATATAAAGACACAGGAAATTTAAAAGGGGATGGAAGAGACCTGTCATACAAATATTAACTAAAAGGACACAGATGTGGCATAGCCGGCAGGGCTCAGGGGTTGAGTGTCAACCTACGAACCAGGAGGTCACCATTCGGGTCAGTCAGGGCACATGGCTGGGTTGCAAACTCGATCCCCAGTGTGGGATGTGCAGGAGGCAGCCGATCAGTGATTCTCTCTCATCATTGATGTTTCTCTCTCTCTCCCTCTCCCTTCCTCTCTGCAATCAGTAAAAGTACATTTAAAAAAATATTAGGTTGCACCTAACAACATGGACACAAAATAGTTAAGTTCTGGTCCCAAACCTTAATATTCTATTTATGAAATCACAACAGCCTCATAAAGGGGCCTTTGGTTAATATTGGGGCTTATTTATAAACGAACTTAAACTTCCTTAAACCTTTAAAACAGCATATGTAACTTAATATTCTTGACTACAGGCCCGGTACATGAATTCGTGCACGGGTGGAGTCCCTCGGCCTGGATCAGGCTGGGGGGCGAGGGCGAGGGCGGGGACCGCGGGAGGTTGGCTGTGGGAGCGCACTGACCACCAGGGGCAGCTCCTGCATTGGGCGTCTGCCTCCTGGTGGTCAGTGCGCCTCATAGCGACTGGTTGACCGGTCATTCAGTTGCTTAGGCTTTTATATATGTAGATTGTATTTTGAAGCCCTTCACATATATAACAACAGCAGTGACCAAACACCTTCCCAAGCACCTCTCAGTCCTCACCACTCACCCCTGCACACTTGGCCCAGGGCACCATCTCCTCTCGCCTGGGCTACTGCAGGTACAGCCGAGCGGTCCTGCTTCCATCCCTCTCCCCATGGTCCCCAGAGTGGTAAGCCGGCCACACACAGGGACACTGGCCATTCTGGCTCCTTCTCATCTCCTTTCCTCTGGAACCTGGCTCGCTCTTGCCCCAGTTCCTGGCACTGCCTGTTCCTCTTTCCGGAATGTCCCCTGCACCTCACCCCACCCCCCAAGATATAGGTGGCTCACTTCCTGCATCTCCTTCAAGTCACAGGCCTGAGGAGACTCTGGTGGGAGGCATCCCTCCCTCTCTGGAAAGGGGTCCCGGCAGCACCTCCCTGCCTCAGTCCCCCCCCCCCCCAACCCCCGTCCCGTTCTCTTGCCTGCCTCCTGGGCAGTAACAGCTGTTGCTGACATGTGTCCAGTTCTATGTTCTGGGAGCTTCCAAAGTAGGATCTCAGTCATCTTCCCAATGACCCGGGACAAAGAGAAAGATAAGCTATTGCACAGGCGAGGAAACAGGGACGGGGTGAGTCCAGCTGACAACTCAGGGAAAGAAAGGTCAAGAACAGGGCTCCCAGGCCAGTCTTTCCCATCTGAGCTGTCTGCCTGTCTGGTCTCTGTGGGCTGCTGGGGTGGTCCAGAACCCCCCAGACTGGTCCCAGCGCCCCCCCCCCCCAGGAAGTGCGGGTCCCCAGCTTCTCCCCAAGAGCCTCTAGAAGGAGGAGAAGGTCCAGGTGGCCCCTGGGGCGGGGAGTGGGGGCTGCAGGTCTGGGAGACCTCCTGGCCGGCAGGACTAGTCCGAGCAGGCACTGGACCCATCAGCGCTCCCAGGAGGTTCTGGGTGGGTCTGTCTGTCACCCAAGTCTTCCCAGCACCCCCTGCCCAGCTCCACTGGCTCCTCTGGGGCAGTAGAAGGAGGGGGTGGGGGCAGCTGGGCCTGTGGCCAATCTGGAGGCCCGCACCCCGTGTAGGCACGTGTGTGTGCAAGGAGGATCTGAGCGCCAGAAGCCGCCTCGGCACCTTCCCCGTCCCTCTGATTCCGGGTGCGCCCCTTGCAGCCTCGCTTGCCGCCTACTTCCCTGAAGACCCCCGGACCACACATCCGCTCCCACAGCAACCCCTGCCCCCCAAGTCCGTCTGTCCCTTACAGCGGAGCAGTGATTCTGTTCATCCGCCTGCCTCCCACCGGTTAGAAGTCCCAAGGCCAGGCCGGCTGGTGGGCCTTGGAAAACATGGGCAACAGGCCGGTGACCCCAGGACACAATAGCGCTCCTGCGACACAATTCAAAATGAAAACCACGTCAAACACGAAATTAAGCCTCGCCCCGTCCTGGCCGGTGGATAGAGCGTCGGCCTGCAGACTGAAGGGTCCGGGGTTCAATTCCGATCATGCCCTGGGTTGCGGGCTTGATCCCAGGTGTGGAACCTGCAGGAGGCAGCCGATCCATGATTCTCTCTCATCGTTGATATTTCTGTCTCTCTCTTCCTCTCGGAAATCAATATTTTTTAAAAAGAAAATAAGCATAGCCGTTTCCCCACTTTGTCTCTTTAAAATAAACAAAACCGCAGCTGTTGTCCCCCCACGTTGCTGGGGCTGACCCTGACGTCCTGAAACCCAGATGTGACGTCACCAGCCCCATGAGTCACCCCATTGGCTCATGTCATCACCTACCTTCACCTTGAGACAATCATCTCTGATTATCTGGTGACCTCGCCAGCCTCACCTGGGACAGGTTTACAGTCTGATGACGTCATCCTGACTGGTGACGTCACTACCTGCCCGCGGCTCCACCCTCACTGGTCCTGTGCCGTCATTTAATGGTGCTGTAAAGCCACCCTGACTGCTATGACCTTGGCCTGCGCTCTCTCCTGCCCAGTGGCTGGGTCCCACGCCCACGTGTCACGGGTCCTTCGTGGGCGCTGCAGGCGGCGGCGTCCCGGGGCTGAGACGCGGCAGGGCGATGCCGGCTGTGCGGAGGCTCCAGGCCCGGCGGGACTCGGACGGCGGAGAAGGAAGGGTCTGCTGGTCGAGGTTCGCCCGCCCCGCGGACTCGGTTCCCCTCGAGAATTCCCCTTTCGGACGTCCCGCTCGGGGGAAGGTGGGCTCGCGACTCCGCCCGGGCCCGCAGCCGGGCGCCCAGGGGGCCTCCTGCTGGGGCGCCGCTCGCAGCGGCAGCACGGCGGTTTCCCGCCCGGTCCCCGAGGGGCCGGAGGCGGGCGCGGGACGGGGCCCAGCTCCCCTTTGTCCCCCGCGGGTCGGCGGGCCGGGAGCGGACGCGTGACTGACAGTGGCCGCGGGCGGCCGGCGGGGCGGGGCGGCCGCTCATTGGCTGGCGCGAGTGTGGGAAAGAACGCGGCGCGGGGTTCACACAGCCGCGGGGGCGCCGCTTTAAACCGCGGGAAACGGCCGCGCGCCGGGAGCCTGCGGGACCCGGACCCGCACTCGCGCGCCGGGCTCACCATGCCCGCGGACGCGCCGGGGAAGCCGCGAACCTCGCCGCGGGCAGCCGCGCCCGCCAGCGCCAGCCGAACCCCAAACCGACTCCGGAGTGCGGCCGCGCACCGGAAGGTGGGACCGGGTCGGGCCCGGGCGGGAGGCGCAGGGGGGGACGGACGGACCCGGGACTCAGCCACGGCCCACGGCCCGACCTGCAGTCCTCCAAGCCGGTCATGGAGAAGCGGCGCCGAGCGCGGATCAACGAGAGCCTCGCTCAGCTCAAGACGCTCCTCCTGGACGCGCTCAGGAAAGAGGTAAGTCGGGGCGGGGCGCGATCGAGGGGCCGAGGCGCGGAGCCGGAGTCGGGGGGCCCTGCTGGCTGCAGCCGCCCACACCGGCCCCGCCCCCAGAGCGCCCGCCACTCGAAGCTGGAGAAGGCGGACATCCTGGAGATGACGGTGAGGCACCTGCGGAGCCTGCGGCGCGGGCCAGCGGCAGGTGAGACGCGGCGGCGAGAGGGAGGGGGAGGGGGCGGCGCGCGGGACCCCCACGGCGCTCCCACCACCTGTCCCCGCTGCCTCCAGCCGCGCTCGGCGCCGACCCCGCCGTCCTGAGCAAGTACCGCGCCGGCTTCAGCGAGTGCCTGGCCGAGGTGCACCGCTTCCTGGCCGCCCGCGAGGACATCCCGGCCGACGTGCGCTCCCGCCTGGTCGGCCACCTGGCGGCCTGCCTGGGCCAGCTGGGTCCCCCGAGCCGCTCGGCGCCCCCGGCCCCCGCTACGGTGGGTCCCACGCCCGAGGTCTCCGTGGGCCGCCAGCCGCTGCCGGGTTTCGACGGCCCCTTACCCCGGCTGCGCCCCGAAACGGCCTGCGCCCCGCCGCTCCTCCGGGGCCTGACCGGAGCGCCCCCCGCCGCCCCCTCGGCGGGGCTGCCGGGCCGCGGTGCGCCCTGGAGGCCGTGGCTGCGGTGAGGCCGCCCCGTTCAGAGCCGCGGCCTTTGCTGAGACTGTAACGGGCATATTCATTTCCAGCGGCTGCAGCGAGAGTTTTGTGTTTTTCTGTCTCTTCTGGGAACGATCTAGCCTGGTAGCACGTGCGGCGGCTCCGTGCGGGCCCCGCCCCCTCCCCGGGCCCCGCCCTCCTGACAGGTGCGCCCCCGCTGGGGTCCGCCGGCGGTGCGTTTGCCCGCACAGGTTGTGCGGGAGCCAGCGCTCCACCTCGAAGTGGGAGGGGGTGTGAGGCCTGCGGGAGGCTCGGTCAGGAGGCGGCAGCCACCGCGTTTTCCAGAATGCACCCCAGTGTTGGGAAGCGCCAGTCCAGCGTCACTGGGCAATGTTTTTAAGGCGCCTGGTCCACCTCCTGCTTTGTTCTCACGTTTACCGTCTGCCCCCTCCTCCGTGAACCGTGCCCTAGGCCAGTCTCCCCAGGACTGGGGACCAGCAGGAGAGGGCATCAGTGTGCCCGGGCAGGGAGCTGGAGTGAGGCTGGCACAAGCACTTAGCCCGGGGCTCAGGGGGTGCGCTCCCACCCGAGTCCCGTCCTGCTGCGTGCCTGGCCTTCCCTGGGAGGCCCCCTCCTCCCCCCAGTGAGAAAGGACTGGAGGTTCATCCTGCCTGAGCTTCCCTCCTGAGAACCTGCGGGTGTCAGCGCTGCAAGACAAGGCTGCGACGCCAGGCGGCGATGGACACGGGGCCAGGAGTCTGCGGGGGGCCTGCGCTCCAGGTGCAAGGAGGGGGTGGTCCCAGGTGCACAGCCGAGACTGGAAGCGCTGGAGGCGGAGCAAGATTCATTTCCCAACCGAAGTTCAGACGGTTGCCTGCCTGCCCGCCGCCTGCCGGCCAGGGCCCATCCAGGAGGAGGAGGGTGAGTCACTGCCGGAGGCTGGCCTGCCTCCTTCGAGGCTGCCCCGTCTGTGCCTCCTGGCCCGTCCTCCCTGCTCTCTGGCCGCCTCGCGCATATGTCCCTGAGCGCCAGGGTCTGGGCCAGTGGCTTAGGATGGTGGCAGCGGTGTGGACACACACGCTCAGTGGGCCCGGGAGGCCCTCCTGAGCAGGAGGGTCGAAGAGGGTCTGTACTGGGGGAGGGGAGCTCAGGGAGGGGAAGGCCTGGGGGATGGGGTGTGCAGCCCAGTGGGTAGGGGAAGAGTCAGGGCCTGCTCAGAGCTGAGCCCCACACTTGGAACCGCTCAGTCCACACTGACCTGATCGATTGATTTGCATGAAAGCTGGAGCCGGGAGGTTTGGGGCGGGTCGTCATGTAGTTCGGTTAGGGAGGTCTGAGAAGCAGAGTGAGCTGAGGGGCCCCACGGTGAGGGCCTGGGCAGAGGGCAGCACCAAGGGGCTGTCCCAGGCCCTCCTCAGGCTGTCCCTGTCCGGCAGCTGAGGGCAGCTGGCTCTCTGGAACACCCATCAGCTATTTTTATCTTGGCTTTTGTCTTGCAGACACTTCCTGCTAAGTAGTGATGAAACACCTTCTCAGGCCTGGCATGTGGAGGGGCAGGGAGGGGCCAGACTTCCTGGGGGGGGGGGGGTATGTGATCTTAGTCACTTCCCTTCATGGCAGGCAGTCCTTCCAGCTAGTTCCTGCAAGGGCCATGGGTCAATAAATGTTTGCTGAGTGAATGTGCATTGTCAGCCTATCCGCCTGCTCTGGGTGTTGGAGCCTGTCGGTCCCTTTGCCTGTGTCTGTCTGCCTGTAGGGCCAGGGCCTGGGGACCAGACAATGACAGCAAATCATCGGTATGAGCTCAGGAGAAATAATCAGCCCGGGAAATTTGCCATGGGGGACGGGCTGGGGCAGCCCCCACTGTGGTGCCCGATTCTCTCCAGGCACCAGCAACCTCCTCTCCTCTGTGGCACACTTGCTCCCTGCAAGCTGGGCTGGGCTGTCCATCGCTGCTCCCTGGAGCCCTGGGGGTACACCCCTCCTGGGATGCACCCTTGTTGGGCAAAGACTCGGCCCTGGGCTTGCAGTCTCCCCAAGGCCCCCGTGGCCCCTCCTGGTATTCAGATCCCGCAGGCATGACGGGCTGTCTCTTCAAGATTAGGTGGCAAGTGCTGCCTGCTCTGTCTGTCTGACAATGTTTACTCCGGGGAGACCAGCTGTGCTTTGCTGTGAAGAAGGCACCCCTAGTGGCCTTGAGACCTGTGGTCACCGCCATGACAGTCAGCTTAGTAGCAGGTCCTCCGGCACCGTCCGGCCCTCAGACAAGCCCCAGTTGCAGCGACAGTCAGGGCTGGAAGCTTGAAGCTCTGTGCTTGGCCCACATCACCCCCTGACTTCACAGTAAGAGAGGTGCAGATACCTGAGCAGCAATAGCTTCCCACCTCCAACCCTCCCATCCTTACCCTGGGGGTGGGGCTCCCCCAGCATCCTTCCTTGCCTTGTCCCAGCACAGTGAGGGGAAGGGCCAAGCAGCCCCAAGTGTGGGGAGGCCCACTGTCTTCTCCAGGCTCCCATGCCCACCCCCCAACTTCTGTGCTGGCCACAGTCTGAGCCAAAAATCCCTGCCCAGGGCCTGGATGGCTCCAGCCTGAGCACCCCCAACTCCTAACCCCCTTACTGTCCTTCAAGGCCCCAGGCACTTCAGCACCCTGGATGTGGGCTCTCCTTGGCAACCCAGGTCAGGGAAGTGTTACACAGGCCTTGGCCAGGCTGTTCTATGGGGACCAGGAGCAAATCTTCATGATCTTGGGTGTCATCCCGGGCACCGAGAGGTTGCTGATTCAATTCCCTGTCAGGGCACATGTCTGGGTTGTGGGCTGGATCCCAAGTAGGGGGCATGCAGGAGGCAGCTGATCAATGTTGTGCTCTCATATTGATGTTTTTCTCTTCTCCCTTTCTCTGTAGAAATCAATAAATTATCCTTAAAATATATATTCAAAGTGGACTTCATAAAATTAAAGTGCTTTGTACTTCAAAGGACATTAGCAAACAAGCAAAAAGACAGAATGGGTGACAATATTTGCAAAACATATTGACAAGGGACTTGTCTTTAGAATCCTATCTAATAAAGAGGGAATATGCTAATTGACTGCCACGCCCTCAAAGATGGCAGCGCCTCCAGCCACAAGATGGCGGTGCCCAGTCACCTCAGCCCCACTGGGGCACCTGCCTCCAGAGTCCCCCAGTCCCCTCAGCCCCCCAGCCACCCAGGGCCGCCCGAGGCTCAGGTAACCAGGGCCAGCCAAGGCTTGTGCTGCCAGCAGTGGCAGCAGCAGAGGTGTGATGGGGGATTCGCCTTTCCCTGATCGCTGGGTCGCCTCCTGCCCCTGAGGGCTTCTGGACTGTGAGAGGGGGCAGGCCAGGCTGAGGGACCCCCACCTGTAGTGCATGATTTTCATGCACCGGGCCTCTAGTATATAAATAACTCTCAACTCAATAATAAAAAAGATAAAAAAATCCAACTTAAAAAACGCGAAGAATCTGAATAGACATTTCTCCAAAGATATGTAATTAGCCAATAAGCACATGAAAAGGTGCTCAGCATCATTAGCCATCAGGGAAATTTAAATCAAAACCACAATGAGATGCCACTTCACACACTAAGATCACTGTCATTAAAGAGACAGTAATAAGCGTTATGAGCTTGTGGAGAAATTGAAACATTTATATATTTTTGGTAAGAATGTAAAATGGGCCTGACCAGCGTGGCTCAGTGGTTGAGCATCAACTATGAACCAGGAGGTCATGGTTTGATTCCTGGTCCAGGCATATGCCTGGGTTGTGGACTTGGTCCCCAGTGTGGGGTGTGCAGGAGACAGCCAATCGATGATTCTCTCTCATCAATGATGTTTCTCTCCCTCTCACTTCCTTTCTGAAATCAATTTTAAAAATATATATATTTTTAAAAGTAAAATGGTGCAGTCACTTTATTTTTTAAAATAAATCTTTTTGTTGAAAATATTACATATGTTCCCCCCCACACTCACCTCCTCCAGCCCGCCCCCACCCCACCCCACCCCAGGCTTTCACCACCCTATTGTCTGTCCATGGGTTAGGTGCAGCCACTTTAGAAAAAGTCTGGAAGTTCCTCAAAAGATTAACTGTAGGGTTACCATGTGCCTCAGCAATTCCATTCCTGGGCCTGGACCCACAAGAAATGAAAACAAATGTCCACCAAAAAGTGTGTGCAGTACTATTCATAATAGCCAAGAAGTTGAAATAATCCAAATGTCTGTCAACTGACGAACTGAATGGATAAATAAGTGTGTATAGCCATGCAAATGAATGTTATTTGGCAATAAAAAGGTATGAAGTACTGAAACATGCTACATACAACATGGATGAACCTCGAGAATACTATGCTCAGTGAAAGAAACAGTCACGAAAGACCACATATTGTGTGATCCCGTTTACCTGACGTGTTTAGAAGATGCAAATCGACAGAAACTAGGTGAGTGGTTTCCTGGAACTGGGGGGAGGTTGAGGGGAATGGGGGTGTGGCCCCTTGTGGAGTAATGGAAATGCTCTAAATTTGATTATAATAATGGCTGCACAACTAAAAACCATTTATGTGTTAATCATGTATCGATAAACCTGATGACCTCCTCCCTACAAAAACAGCCATAGAGAGAAAGTTCTAAGAGCTGCTAGGGAAAGAAGAGGCATTATACACAGAGGAACAAAGATGAAATGACGGCAGATTTCTTGTTGGAAAAATGCATGTGAGGAGACGATGGAACATCTTTGAAGTGCTAAAAGTGAAAACTATTCCTTAGAACTCTATAAGCAGACCCACCCCTACCTATGCAGTTGGTTGATCATCAACAAAGGTGCAAAGGTAATTCCCTGGAGAACGGGGAGTGTTTTCAATCATTGGACCAGGAACAACTGGACATCTATATGCAAATAAAATCTCCTGGAACCATGCCTCACACCATAGGCACAAATCAACTCAAAACAAATTATAGTTCTGAATGCAAAACCTGAAACTATAAAACTTTCTGGAGAAAACTTAAAACATTTTTGTGACCTTTGGTTAGGCAATGATTTCCTAGATATGACACCAAAAAAACAATCCATGGAAGAAAAATGGATAAATTTTTTAAAATATATATGTATATTTTTAATACATTTTATTGATTTTTTACAGAGAGGAAGGGAGAGGGATAGAGAAACATCAATGAGAGAGAAACATCGATCAGCTGCCTCCTGCACACCTCCTACTGGGGATGTGCCCACAACCAAGGTACATGCCCTTGACCGGAATTGAACCTGGGACCCTTCAGTCCGCAGGCCGATGCTCTATCCACTGAGCCAAACCAGTTAGGCCTAAAATATATTTTTATTGATTTCATAGAGCAAGGGAGAGAGAGTTAGAAACCTCAATGATGAGAGCATCATCTATCAGCTGTCTCCATACTGGGGATCGAGCCCGCAACCTGGGTCGGCCTCCTGGTTCATAGGTTGACGCTCAACCACTGAGCCATGCTGGCTGGGGCCCCGGTAAATTTTTTAACTTCTGCTCCTCAAGAGACATTGTTAAGAAAATGAAAAGGTAAGCCTTAGAGTAGCAGAAAACATTTGCAAGTCACACATCTGATTAAGAAGATTCAAAGATTTCTCAGGAGTCAACAATAAGAAAAGAACTAACCCAGTGAAGAAAACAGGCAAGAGATTCCACCCGTCATCGCACAGAAGATTATGGCAGAAACAAAACAAAACATGAAGGGAGCCCTGACCGGTGTGGCTCAGTGGATAGAGCGTCGGCCTGCGGACTCAAGGGTCCCAGGTTCGATTCCGGTCAAGGGCATGTACCTGGGTTGCGGGCACATCCCCAGTGGGGAGTGTGCAGGAGGCAGCTGATCGATGTTTCTCGCTCATCGATGTTCCTCTCTATCCCTCTCCCTTCCTCTCTGTAAAAAATCAATAAAATATATTTTAAAACAAACAAACAAACACGAAGGGATACTCAGCATCACTAGTCATCAAGGAAGTTCAGGTTAAAGCCGGAGTGAGGCACCTAGGCGTGTATTAGATGACGAAAGACTGGCCACACCTGTCGGCGAGGATGTGCCTCACACACTGTTGCTGGGAGTGAAAACTAACCATATTGGGAGACAGTCTGGCACTTTCTTAGGAAGTTAAGGGTATTCCTGTCTTGTGACCCAGCCACCCCACCTTAAGTATTTGCCCAAGAGAAATGGAAGCCCACGTCTACACAAGACCCGGACACAGCTTTATATAGACTAGTCCCATCCAGAGATAACCCAGGGGTCCATCAGCGGGTGAACGGAAATACCAGCTGGGTAGCCAACATCGGAGCACTCCACATTCATAATTTTAAAAGACCTATGGATATACACACTGGGCTGGATGAATCTCAAAACACTTGTGCCGAGTGACAGACACCAGACACGTCTTCTTGTCCTTACGAGAGGGAACAAACGGTCTGACCCGTTTGTATAAAATTCCAAGCTACGGCAACCCAGGGGAGCAGGGCCGGAGGCGGTTCCAAGGGAGAGGAACCTTCAGGGATGATGGGCGCTTCACTCTCTGGATTGAGGTGATGGCCTCCTGGGTGTTTACCTGCCAAAACGCAGCGAATTTTACACTTTAAATATGTGCAGTTTGTCGTGTATATATTATACCCCATTAAAACGATTGCAATTTTTAAAGTAAAAAGCCCGTAATCTGTGGGAAGCACTTAAGAGTGTCCGGCAGGGAATAGCTGCTCCTTGAAAGTTGGCTCTTGTTTCGGGGTATTTACAGTCTCACCGGGGCTACAAACCTTCAAAAGGGGGGCGTGGCACCCCAAGAAGTGTCCAGGCCCTCCCCCCACCCCCCACCCCGCTGCGCTCTGCTGGCTTCCAGTGGGGGACCTGTGCCCTCTGGTGGCCGCCAGGGGTAGCGCAGGCTGCGTGCCGTTCACTGCCTCTTTCTGATACCGGCCGCTTCCCACTGTGGGGCTGCTTTCCATCCGCAGAACCGCCCCCTCCCGCGCAGGTGCTGGTCTCTGCAGACAAGGCCTCCGCGGAGGAGCTGAGGCAGTGCCCAGTGACCTGCTGCGGAGCTCGCCTGTTTTCCTTGGCGGCCAGACCTCCCCGGGGCCAAGCAGGTCCCTGATCGGGGTGGTAATTAACTCCAGCAACGCCAGGTTTCCAAAAGGCCTTCTCGTCCTTGCTTGGCCTCCAACCTCGCCCACCGCACTCCCACAGCCTCGGAGTCAGCCTCCCTGCCTCCTGTGGCCCGTATTCTCTTCTTCCAGGGCCACCAGGCTGGTTGTCACAAAGCCCTCCCCTGGTGGGAACCGTGTTTGCCTGGACATGCAGGTCCACACACATGTGCCACAGAGCAGGGACCCGCCCTGGGAGTCCACAGGAAACAAAAAGTGACAGGACACCCCATCACCCACCATCCTGGGGGGGATGTCAGCACCAGCTCAGTCACAGGTCCGATGGGAGAAGTGGGGTAGTGAGGCTTTCCAAAGCGAACAAGCCACCTTCCCCACACCTGCAAGCCACCTTCCCCACACCTGCAAGCCATCATCACTGCACCTGCAAGCCACCTTCACTGCACCTGCAAGCCATCTTCACACCTGCAAGCCACCTTCACTGCACCTGCAAGCCACCTTCACACCTGCAAGCCATTTTCACACCTGCAAGCCATTTTCACACCTGCAAGCCATTTTCACACCTGCAAGCCATCTTCACACCTGCAAGCCATTTTCACACCTGCAAGCCACCTTCACTGCACCTGCAAGGCGTTGGGGCAGGCAGGGAACTTGAGGGAACAGAAAAGTGATCACCACCAAGGAAACTGCTGACAACTTGGCTTGTGCTAAAATTTGAATATATATATATTATTGATTTTTTAAAGACAGGAAGGGAGAGGAATAGAGAGAAACATCGATCAGCTGCCTCCTGCACACCTCCTACTGGGGATGTGCCCGCAGCCAAGGTACATGCCCTTGTCCGGAATCGAACCTGGGACCTTTCAGTCCGCAGGCCAACGCTCTATCCACTGAGCCAAACCGGTCAGGGCTAAAATTTGAATTTTATCCATTTAAATTGCTGTTCATCCAAAATAAAATAAAATAAATTTCTGTTCATCCAAAGGCACCGTGAAGAGA